GCCCATCCAATTATTCTTATCCAAACTTTTGGTATTCCCATGGCCCAATATCACATAATCATAAAGGCCTAGTTATGGCCCACCCATGGCCTAATTTTCCAAATTAGGCCCAAGTCCTTCACATGGACTTTACCATAAAACTCATCCAATTATTTTGGTCTATTTACTTGTTCTTGGATAGCCCATCAATAGTCCAATCACCAAGGCCCAATAGGAAGGCCCAACTCAAGGCTCAAGTGAAATTAGGGTTTTCACATAAAATGACGATTAGGGTTAAGTGCTCCTACTTAACCCATTAAGGGCTTAATCCATTAAGTCCAATATTGCCTTTGGTTAATTTGTAAATGGTTATTAATTAACATTTTATGGTTTAGTAATTAATTCAAGTGCGGGTCCTGATCAATCCCCAAAATTTAGAGTTTTATGTCATTAGGGTTTCCTACCCAATACTAGCCCATAAATCACATGGTTGGGTTTTTAGGTCAATTAGAGCTTCATTGGGCCCATTAGGGTTTCATTAGGACCATTAGGGTTTCATTGGGCCACTAGGGTTTCATTGGGCCCACTAGGGATTCCTTGGGCCCATTACGATTTCGTTGGGCCAATTCAGTCCAAGTATCCCAACCAAGTCAAAACGCACACTAGGCACACCGCCACCCAACACGGCGACTGCTGACGGCGGGAGGCAGCAGCCACCACCTTACGGTGGTGGTTTGAATTTTCTTTTCATTATTCTAATCTCCAATTACATGTTACAATGCTTTAATCAAGAAAATAACACACACTAATTGATAAACACATACACACAGACACCCTTGTGTGAGGCCAGTGGTGGTGGTGGCCTTCTTGCGATTCCGACCAAGACACACACACGACACACACACTAACAGTAGAACACACCCACACGTCTTCTGCTAGTAAGCGGAACCCAGCCACACTCCTAGCATTGTTGGTGACACAAGAAAGCAGGCAGCAACCGTAAGAACTTCGTCATCTGTGGCAACCACCATGGCCGGCGGCCATGGTGGTTTGTCTTTAGGTTTTTCTATCCATCGAGCATCCATATCATAATCAGAAACCCAAAAAAACCTCCATGCTTGCGATACACTAGATGAAATACACACACCCACACCTAACAGTGGTGGTAAGCGGTGACAGTTGTGGCTGGAACGTAGCATCGTGAGACGGGCAACATCTTCACGACGGAACAACCACATGGCGGCGACAATAGTGACGAAGCCATCAATAACCAATCTGATCGGTCCTCCCACGACCATAGCGTCGGTGTCTATAGTTTTTCTCCAGCTACAAATGATGTCCAGCGGTAGAGCTAGAAGTAGAAGACGATAAGGCAGTGAAGAAGTGAAGGCAATGATCGATCGGTGACACCGGTTGGCTAGGAAGCGGCAACTGGACATAGTGACAATTAGAGTGGCGGCAGGAGGTTAAGGGTAGACAGGGAGGTGACGACTGGAGTTGTATTAGGGTTAGGGTTTAGATGCAATAGAACAGTTATATACCCGCTCCATTCAACTATGATCCATATTTGATAAAACTGATCCCTTCTTCTCCTTCTCCTTTCATATTAAGTCTCAAAATTACCATTTGGCCCCTAACTCCATAAAATTCTTTCAATATAAGTCCAACAGTTACAAAACAACCCCTCCTATACAAATTATTCTCAAATAAAGTCTGTAATTTACCCTTTATACCCAAGTTCCCATAAATCCTTCCAAAATGAGTCCAAAAGTTACCAATTACACCTTGCCTTCTAAAATCCTTACAAAATAAGTCTCGAACTTACACTTTAACCCTCGAAAATCAAAAGTATATCATTTAGCACCCCGAAACCAACACCCCACTAATTATTATTTTATTTGGACAATAATAATATAAAATAATAGTAAAATTACTTCTTGGGTTTCCGGGTTTATCATTTAATTATTCTATTTTACACGGGATGTTACATTATAGTAGACTAGTAATCTATATCCAAAAACATAATTGATTTAAATGTATCGTCACCGATTTCACCCTTTAATTATCGCCAGTCCAAGATGAAATTTGCAACGATGCTACTCATTTTTCTTGATCTGCCAAGTCGTTGAGGGTATATATGCTTTGATAATTGATTAAATAATAGTTTCAAAATCAGTGCACCACCAAATTTGAAATCAAAATTGTAAGTTTCAAAATCTAATAAGATCACTCAGTTTCATAATCGTTTTTGGCCTTCAATTTTAGTTTATTGATTAATTGATTAGTTTTTTTAATTTCATAAAACATAATCGATTTTCTAAGAAATCTGATGCTCACCTTTTGTGTCTCAATTTTAGAATTAATTGAGTTATGTTGTGGCTTGTGTCTTGATTGTTTCAATTTCAAGAAATGACCTTTCTTAAAACAAGATTTCAACAATACAATAAGTATGAAAATAATTTTGGTTCTTTTCTTCCAAAAATGTTTAAGGAATTTGATAATAAAGATCTTAAGTTGTATTGTAGCCATTTTAAGTCGCACTTAAATATGGTGAATGATAATATATTAATGCCAACGAATTTTATCTTGAGTTAAATCTATTTGACGAGTTCTCACCAAGAGAAACTACTAACCCCATTGATATTTTAAAAAATATGAATAAAAGTCGATTATTATCCTAATACAATTAATGCATATAGAGTCTTGTTGCTTATTTTAGTAAGTATTTTAGTAAGTGTTGTGTCTGCATAAACAAGTTTGTCAAAATTGAAGTTGTTTAATGGTTTGAAAATTATAGCTATTGATAACAATATGTTGGAGATTATTTATTATGAAGAGTTGATAGACAACTTTGATTCAAAGAATGTTAAAACACCATTTAGATTCATGTAACTATGATTAGATTGTATATTATTGTTTTTTCTAACGGTTATCTACTTATTGCGGTATTAAAGAATTTTGCTTGTATATAATAAGAAATTATGTTTGGTGGCTCACTTTTATTTTTGGTTGAGGGCCTAAAAATCAACTAGAAACCTTGTTGCTATTGGCTAGCCTTAATAAAATGTCTTTTCTTAAAAAAAATAAAAAAAAAACATATTTTTTTTGGAAACAGCAAATAACATTAAAAAGCTACACGACTAGCAAAAAACTTACCGGACCCGAAAGCAAGGTGCAGGAATAATAGTTTACAACACAGAGAAAGGGGATCAAACCCACTCCACCCAATTCTGGAATCCCTATACTTATGACAAGAGAAAACAAGAGAGATAACATCTTCAACAATTTTGGCTGGGGATTAAATCATATTCCTAAAGAGTTTATTATTTCTTGCATTCCGTGTTCACCACATCAAACCATAGAGTATGGTTTATTACTACATACTTCAAACAAAACTTTTTGTCGGAGTCAATTTGGTGTGCTCGGATGTAATTACTATATTCGAAGTCATGAAAAATTACGCGAACCCATTAAACCATCTTGGCTTATCATATGAAAGATTACGCGAACCCACTAAACCAAGTTTCACAGAGCTATGCACATTAATTAATTATAAACAAACAAATTCTTCCATCTAATAATAGTTAAATGAAATTTCATTCATTATATTACAGACGAAAGCTTATTTGCGAAAGAGGCACTTTCAAGATTGTTCACCCACTTTTAAAATCTCAACATACATGTAAAATGAAAATTAAGAAGCTAACAACATACACGATATTATAGACCAAGCTATATATATGGATGAGTCTTAAACAATTTTAGCTTAAAAGGCCAATTAAATTAAAGTTTAGCTTGTTAAATCGAAGGGATAATGACTTAAAATGGTAATATATTTTTCGATTTGTACACATTTGGTCACTGAGTGTTTATTCGTCCACATTTACCCCTTCAACTTGTTAAATTGTACACATTCAGTTCTTATGACCGGTTAATCCAGGTTAGTAGAAAAAAATGACATAATAGGGTAATATATTTCTCATTTATATACATTTAGTTTTTAATATTTTTGTACACATTTAGTCCTTAATGTTTTTTTGTTTCAAAATAAGTCATTTTTGTTTTTGTACTCATTCAATACTTTTGAATCATTTCTTTAGGTTTTTTCTCAACATTTTACGTAGGACAATCATTGATTAGATGTCTGGGGCTGTTGATGCCAGCTTAAGTCCATTGCAATCTCAACTGTTTGGTTGTGTAAGTGTTGTGGTTTGGCTTAGGTCTTGTGTCATGAATGTCGTAACTTCTTCATACGATATCAGATTTTAACGATCATTATATCCATGTGTTCGTTTTTTGAGTCTACTACAACTTTTGTTAAGATTACTCCCATTAAAATATAATATATTTTTACGTACGATTTTATAAAAAAAAACATTCATACATACATTCTTAAACAATGTATGGATATAAAGATCATAAGTAAAAATATATTACTTTCTAACGGGGAGTAATCTTAATGAAAGTTGTAGTACACTAAAATAAGAACGCATGGATATAAAGATCGTTAAAACCCGACATCATATAAAGAAGTTATGACGTTCATAATATATAACTTAAGTAACCAAGTAATCGAGATCGCGGTGGACATAAGTATTAAAAGCCTAAACACCTCATTAATGATTGTCTCACGTAAGATGTCATGAGAAAAAAAAAAACTTAAAGAAATCATTCATAAGTACTGAATTAGTACAAAAACAAAAATGACTTATTTTACAAAAAAAAAAATATATTAAGGACTAAATGCATACAAAAATATTAAGGACCAAATGTGTACAAAGTAAGAAATATATTACCCTATTAAGTCATTTTTACGGCTAACCTAGAGTAGTCGATTATAATGACTGAATGTGTACAGTTTATCAAGTTGAAGGGTAAATATGAACAAAAAAAAACTTAGTTACCAAATATGTACAAATCGAAAAATATATTACCCTTTTAAGTCATTATCCCAAAATCGAAATATAAGCAGCCACATCGTATCATCTATGCATGCATTTTTTTTAATTCGTAACTTTGGTTTATCGAGACTCCCACAAACTCAGTAATGTTTTGAAGTCCATAGCAGCTGATTCGTTTGTATTGATGGCTGTATCCAGAGCATTGATGGTTGTATCCCGAGAGTATTTATTGATGGTTTTATCCCGAGCATTGATAGTTGTATCGCGAGAGTATTTATTGATGTCTTTATCCCGAGCATTGATGGTTGTATCCGGAGAGGTTGTATTGATGGTTGTATCTCGAGAATTCTGTCGACATAGGTACACAATATAATTAGGGGTTATACAAAGAAGTGATTCCTTTGGACATTTAACCAATTTTGCAACACGCCAAGAGTGCTAACACAACAAACAATAATTAATATAAATTGCTAGCTACAACGAGAGAAGGACATAAGATATATCACTTGCATGCATACCTCTAAAATTTCTAAAACCTTTTGACATATATACATTTCGGTAACGCTTGCCCCTCGTTCTTGAAGCTTGTCGGGACTGAAATAAATAACAGTTCTCTGGTAATATTTCCTTAGAGCACGATTGCTCACTTTATTTGCTGTTGACAACGGCTTCCACCCATATGTTCCACGTCCAAGGATCTACAAGTTGAAAAATTATTTAAAAATCTCATTAATTTAGCCAACACAATCTAGATATGTTCTACCTCAAAACTTTTCTGCATCTCATTTATATTTACAGGAGATTAAGAGCCTGTAGGTATACGTGGGATTTAACCATTTTTCTGAAGCACAATTTCATTAACTAAAGATGGTAGAATAGAAATACTCAGGAAATTAAGAAGCTAAGTTGGGTTAAGAGATTTAAACATTTGTTATGATTGATTTGAAAATTTTATGTTTCGAACTTCAACCCTGTTACATATATAGTTTTAACCAAGAAGCTAGCATACAAGAGCATCTACAATGCGTAACTTAATAACTTAATAAAATATTTGAATGATGTGATATGTCTAACTCAAATTCAATGAATTAAACTCTATCATTACCAGATGCTATGTTGATATTCAATGAATATAGATTTCAATGGTCATTGTGGAAAAAAAGAAACATTTTAACTATTAAATATATATTCCACCGAATTCTATTAATTTCAATATATTGTAAGAAAATTATTAGAGCTGTATAGTAAATAAAATTATAATACGTGAATCTATTAAACTCTTAAAAGTTTAGTTCATCGTAGATAGGGTAAATAGTAATCCACAACATGCATTACTAGAAAAAGTTTTTTTTTTTTTTTTTTTGGTACGGGTTTGTCCCTATTTACCCACAACTTATTGGTTACTAACTTTTATAGGTAAAACCATTTGGACACTACTTATTCTTGGCACATTATTATCCACCAATATCTTCCGTATTTTTTTTGGAACCTTAAATATTATAAATATGAAATGCGAAACTAGCAAGTCGCTAGAAATGACATAAGGAGAAATATCTATGATATTTTTCATGTAGAGATACTTTAGCACAAGTTTATACATTAATTAAGAAGATTGTACATACATCTTGTAGTGTTAAAAGCAAAGCATCGAAGTTCCCTTCTTTTCCGGTTGACCACCTTTTTATAGCTTCATCAGGATTTTCCTTTATTAACTGAAATACAAATTGTTTGCTTAAACAGATTAATAATTTGTAATTAATTAGAATGCGTGTATATATAGAATTAATAAGAAAAAAACATACTTGATATTGGAGTGCAGCTTCAAGCTTGCTAGCGATCAATTCCATTGTTGGACGTTGTGTCTGCTCTGTTTCCAAACATTGCTGTGCAATTGCTACAAACATATTAAAAGAATTCTCTGCCATTTGTTGCCTTAGAGTAACATCGAGAAGTGTATCTCGTATTAATTCATTCGAAGATTCTTTCACCAAAAACATTAGGGATCGACGATTATCATTATAACTAAAATCAATACACATCCTTGAGCACAAAACTTCAAAAAGTACAACCCCAAAAGAGTAGACGTCTGATTTTTTGGTATATATCATAGTCTCTGAAAACACCGGATCACAATATCCATATGTGCCTTTGGCTTGAGTGATAAGATAGGAGCGATTTTGGGTGGCAGGGCCATATTTAGATAGTCCAAAATCTGCAATTTTGGCGTTCCAGTTCTCGTCCAATAGGATGTTGGCACTCTTGATATCACAGTGGAGGACTCGTTGTCCTCTGCGGGGATTGTGAAGATACTCCAACCCACGTGCAGCCCCCAGACATACCTTCAATCGTTGAATCCAAGTGAAGTTGGGGTCCTGTAGATGAAAGTCGAGGCTTTTATTTGGTGCGTACTCATACACTAGGATCCTTTCGTTATTCTCATAACAGAATCCAAGGAGTGAGATGAGATTTTCATGTTTATTATCGGAAAGCAACATGATTTCCCTTCGAAACTCAGGATCTCCTTCCTTATTTGAAAGACTCCACCGCTTTGCAGCACCCATGATCTCACCCTCAGAGCGTAAGAATTTGCCTCTGTATACCTTCCCATATCCACCTTCAGCAATGAATTTGTCTTCACCGAAGTTGTTGGTGGCATCTTTTATGGTTTGAAGTGGAATTATGAGGTGCTCGAACTCTTGCAGGAATGATGACATTTTGCAAGCAGTCGACTAAATTTGTGAAATAAACGTTAATAATGGGAGGGATTGAAAGAAGCCTTTTCTTTCAACCTAGTAGATAAATGCATAAGTTAACGATAATGTTTGGGTCAACTCCCTAAAGTTATTTAAAGTGCAAGTATATATATATATATATATATATATATATATATATATATATATATATATATATATATATATATATATATATATATATATATATATATATATATATATATATATATATATATATAGGGTTAGGTTCATTTGAGACCACCTATATTTTGTGAGATCGTGAGACGCATTTTTTTATTTATTTTTTATTTTTTTTAGTTAATTCATGTTCCGAAAATAATATTTAAAAAAAAAAGAATTTTTTGATTTTTCTATTTATTTTGCATTTTAAAATTATTTTTAGAATATGTACAGTAATAATATTCTATTTAGAATATTTCACGTATTTTTAAAAAAAAATAGAATTTTTTTTTTAGTTAATTCAAGTTCCGAAAATAATATTTAAAAAAAGAATTTTTAGATTTTTCCATTTATTTTGCATTTTAAAATTATTTTTTAGAATATGTCAGTGTAATATTCTATTTAGAATATTTCACGTATTTTAAAAAAAAAACGGAATTTTTTTTATTTTCTTTTATTTTTTTTATATTTTTTATATTTTTTTTAGTTAATTCAAGTTCCGAAAATAATATTTAAAAAAAGAATTTTTGGATTTTTCAATTTATTTTGCATTTTAAAATTATTTTTAGATTTGATCTCACGGTCTCACAAAATTAGAATGGTCTCAAATGAACCTGAACCTCTATATATATATATATATATATATATATATATATATATATATATATATATATATATATATATATATATATATATATATATATATTACTTTCCACATTTTAGTTAATAGTTGACTTTCTATCTAGTTCACGATTCCTTAAATTTGCCTAATTCAGAAATCCTCCTTTATCAGAGGCAGTGTTTCCAATGGAAGGTGGCATTTTTCTCTACAATACTTAATTTACAACATTTTTATTGGTTTAAGAAAATTTGTAAAGTACTTAACCAACTAACCACAAATATAAAAATTCAAATATACGAGCGGGTCAGTCAACATCTTAATAAACTTCAACCATCAATAATATGATTGCCACTGGTTACAAATCGTTTTCCATGAATCTTAATTGTTTACTTACCCTGTCTTGTTGTCATCTAGGTTTTTCTTCTTTCCACTATATGGAGGTCCTATATTTGAGTTACAAATTTTTTAATGGGAGGCTTATCATCAGAATGGAACGAAGCATTCCATTCGATTTCTTCCATTTCTAATTCCAGCTCCAACTTTTTTTTCTTAACCCATTAAGTCATGTATGTCCCCATTAAATCTATTAATAACAACACAATAGTTGAAAAAACTATAAATATATATATATATATATATATAAGGTTAGCTTCATTTGAAACCATATTAATTTTATAAGATCGTGACACGCAATCTAAATATAATTTTAAAAAACAAAATACAAGGAAAAATATGAAAATTCCTTTTTTTAATTATTATTTTCATCACTTTTTTACCTTAAAAAAACAAAAAACAAAATAAAAAAAAACCTATCGTTTTTTTTCTTTGAAAAATACATGAAATATTCTAATAAAATATTATATTGTAAATATTTTAATGTGATCTTTAAAATGTTACAATATATTCTATTAGATTTGTCAGATATGTAGAATATTCTAATATTTTATTAGAATATGTAAAAAAAACGTTTTTTTTTTTTTTAAAATTTTTCTTTTGAAAAATATAATTGACCAAAAAAAATGCAAAAAAAAAAAAAAAATTAAAAATTTTCAACTATTTTGCATTTTAAAAATATTTTTTTATCTACAAAATGAATAATTAAGATTAAGTCTCGTACTCTCAAAAAATTAGACCGTCTAATATTATCCTAACCCTATATATATATATATATATATATATATATATATATATATATATATATATATATATATTAAATTATAGACCTTGTGGTTTGGTTGAATTCTCAGTTTTAGTCCCTAACTTTTATAAATTTGATAGATTATACCCCTTTTGGTTTTTTATAATTACACTTTAGATCCTTGGTCCATATAAAAAGATCAAATTACCTTTTTTTTTTTTTTCTTTTTCTTTTAACAAGTTATTATTATTATTATTATTATTATTATTATTATTATTATTATTATTATTATTATTATTATTTAGTTTTTACTTTATTTATTTATCTTTGTTTTGTGCTTTAAAAATATTTTAATATTTTGATGTTTTATTTAAATATATTTTTAATGTTTTTTTTTTGACGTTTTATTCATCCAATATAATTATTTAATGTTGTTTTTTATGTGTTTTTTGTTTACATCATTCACTTATATGTATGGATGTAAAAGAAATGAACGTTCGGTAACGTTTGTGAACCGTTTGACGGAAAGTTCGTTTATGTTTGTTTATTTAATAAATGAACGAACATGAAAAAAAAAATTATCGTCCGTTTAGTTAAACGAGTGAACATAAATAATGATCTCGTTCTTTCATTTATGTTCTCGAACATTCGTTTATGATGTTTGTCTACGTTCATTAATGCTCATTCATTTAGTTTATTTATATTCATTTATGTTCAATTTTTATATTATATTACCGAATTATATGTTCATTTATGTTTATATATATATATATATATATATATATATATATATATATATATATATATATATATATATATATATATGTTAAATTGTGCTTGTTTATCTATTCGTTTGTTTATGTTCGTTTAGTATGTTCACGAATATAAACGAACAAACATGAACAAGAAAATTTGTTAAATGAACGAAGTCGAAAAATAAAATCTCGTTCGTTTACCCGTTCGTATTCGTTTGTTTGTTCGGGTAACTTACACGAATGAACACGAACAAGCCATTGTTCGTGTTTGTTTACAGCGCTACTTATATGTTAGTGTTTGTTCTTTTATTCATTTTTATGGTTTTATGTGTTTTTCGTTTACATCATTCGTTTATACGTCAATGCTTTTTCGTTTATTGCCTAAATAATTATATTTTTTCGTATAACTATTTTTGAAAAAAGAAAGAGAAAAAAAATATTAAATAATTTTATACGAATACTGATAGTTATTCAGGTTATTGTTTTTATTTTTTTTATTCGAAAATAAAGTCAAAAAATTCAGTATATAATTTAAATGAACAAAATGTCAAAAAAACAACATTAAAAAATGTATTTAGATAAAATGTCAAAAATATTAAAAGAATTTTTAAACCACAAAAACAAAGACAAATAAATAAAGCAAAATAATAATAATAATAATAATAATAATAATAATAATAATAATAATAATAACAATAATAATAATATGATTTTATATAATTTAGATAATTGATTATAAACTAAAAATAATTTCATAAATAATCTATAGTAATTCTATTAAAATAAAGAAACAAAAAAAATATATATATATATATATATATATATATATATATATATATATATATATATATATATATATATATGTTTGTGTAATTATAAGTTTGATTACAATGGTTATAAAATAAATTTGACAACTATTTTCAGCATTGTCATTTTTTTTCTAAGCCGATTATAACCAAGTATATATATATATATATATATATATATATATATATATATATATATATATATATATATAGACACACACACTTGGTTATAAGCCGTAGAACCCACGGGTAAGGAAAAAAAATGACAATGCTGAAAATTGTTGTCAAATTTATTTTATAACCATGGTAATCAAATTGATAATTACACGAACAAATTTATTAAGCATATACTAAAAAATGTATCTTATCACTTATCATTAATGTAATTCATTATAACTCCGATGGTTGTTTATTTTCTAAAAGTGCATTCTTAACAATTACAAAATTCAAAAAGAACATAAATGACAAGTTCTTTATTGCATTTTAAATACCATGAAACACCATCAATTTGTATATTTTTGTATACCTCTAATCTCATGGATAGAGACAAACACCTCTACATGACATCACATGAGATTCATCAATTATTCTTTAAAATAAGAGAACCAATTGCTAGAGAGTTGGAAAAAATAAGAGTATAATGAAATAAAGTAAGATTTTTTGTTAAAAAAAAACTAACAAGTTATAATTATCAAACACCCAAAAACAAAGGGCATCAAAATACAATGCTATTAATAACCAAGCCAAGATGTCGAAACCCTAAACCTGACTGCAACACCAGTAAAAAGAGCAAAACATGTTGAGACGATACTTCCACAATTCACAGCAACAACATTGTAGTTTGAAACAATCTACCCAATTATAACAATATGATTCTAATATAACCCAATTTTCAGTGTTTACTACTATAAAGAGAGTAGATTTTCAAAATACAATGTCCTAATAAGAAAAAAATGAAAGTAAAATAGTACAACAAGGTAGAATTATCAATATAAAATATTTTAATAAGAAATTTTTTTTTTAACTACAATGTTATAATAGAAAGAAACGAAAGTAACATGGTATAGTGAACAAATAAATGAAAGTATATTGCAATTAGTTGTAATCAACGAACCGACTTAAGTTATGACTTTTATACACCTTCATATCGCAACCTTCCGTATAGGTGAACCAACAAAACCACTACCTCCCAACACTATAAGCTAATAAAAATAAAATTGTAAAAAACAAAATTTAAACAGTATAAATATAAGAAAACAAAAGCTAAATGAAATAAATCCTTAAAGAGAATATGTTTACTCTCTTAGGAAGATAATTTAGATTGATATTAGAGAAGCGAGGCTCTTAATGACTCTTTTATTAATGAAAATCCCATTTATTCAAAAGCTTATGTTTTCTCAATAAAGCAAACATATTAATTTTATAACTTGGTAGGGCAATCACCTGAACATTGACAAGATGAAATGACTCTCCCAAAAAGG